ATCAATATATATAGATTTTTAAACCAGTCACACAAGGACCATACACTTTTGCGTGTGTAGACCCTTACAAATAAGGAATGAAAACTTTTCACAAAAAGACAACAAAAAATTAGGCTTAACAGTCCTTGTATTTCAAAAAGAAAAATAAATATATAGCCATCAAAAAATAATCACAAAATTCTTCTCCAAAAATAAATGTCCATTATAATCCAACGGATTAGGGCTCCAATATAGATTGCCCCACAGCAAGAGAGGTCTGATGAGAAAATAATCTTGCTCAGAGGCAGGCGCTGGAACAGGTTTTCTGTTGTTGGTTTCAGGAGGACCTTTAACTGTGATGTCACCGGCTTCCGGGTAATTGTGATGACACGTCAGCACGGCAGGAGCACAGAATGAAGTTTCTTTGTTTGTTTGGTTTTCTCCTTTTCCTTAATGATCGGTGGGATCCAGAACAGTGGCAAAATACTGAAAGCACGAGGGATTAAACGGCCTCGGACTGACTTTGTTACTGGTCGATAGAACGGAATATGCAGACGTAGTAGCAGCAGCTGTTTCTGTTACGCTGTCTGCTGAGACACTGACTTTTTCAAACTGGAGCTAGGAGTCAGATTGAACAGCGGACCAATCAGGTAAGTGCATGTGTTAAATGGGCGTAAAGAAGGTGTGTCTTGAGCTGTGAAGAAGCAGGAGGGTTTATGAATAACGGTGCAGCCAGCTCTGTGCAACAAGCAGGTTGTCACAAGGGGGTCAACTTTATTAGGGGTGGGGATCAAGGAGGTAGGATTAAAGGGAAGCAGACATCTGGAGTCTGAGGGCTTTACACTTTATTAGATGAGCAGCATATGCTCAAGATAAAGCGGGTTAATAAAGTGCTGAGTGAAAAATTCATAATCAATGAAAAAGACCTAAATAATCCCACTATGACTACAGGTAAAAAAGCAACACTTACTGAATAAGAATTTCCCTGACTGCTGCTCAGTTTTCCTATATCTGCAATTTCTGATTTCCTTACGCATCTTTGAGCCGCCTGGACGTTAGGACGTTTCCTGCCGCCTTAAACGATGTTCAACTTTCATCATGAGCTCACATTTAACCATAAGGAAATGAAGTCATGGTAAACAAATAGTAAACATCATTAACAGGATACCACTCATAGCCTCTTCATGAGTTTTAAGCTGTTTTTAGGGGTGAACCCACTGATCAGCCTCAATATCCTTTAGTTTTGGAGATCAGTGATCGGCCAACACTTAGATGTGAAAACAATCTTTTCCACTGATCTTATCTACCTCTAAGAAGGTCTGAAAATCCTCCATTGCCAATGCTCTAAACTTGGATTTATATTTGAAAGGAGTTATTTTAGAAGCTTTTATTGTTTCATGAGTAATGATTAATGTCTTTCACTAAGATAAGATTGAAATATTGAAGGTTTCTTGTGATCTTCTAACAACTGACAGTGTCAATAAGAAAAAAAATCAGTACCATTCAAAATTGAGTGACTGGCTTTTTAAATATTGGGAGTCTGTGATTGGCCAGAAACCTGCAATCAGTGCACTAGTTATCTTTAGGCATAAATAGTAATTGATATGAGGGTAAACCAAATTGTAAAACAAGAAGTTTCAAAACTGAAGAGCATTTTTCAACCTTACTCCAACTGTTTAACGACATGTAAACAAGACAGAAGAGTGGCTAGAAATGTTTTTAGCTGCATTTGTTCAACGCCGACAAGCTGCTTTGCGCTAAGATTAGGTTAGCTGGAAAAAACAACAAATAAAACAACTTTTCCCTCCCAACAATAAAGAAACAAACTGTATTGTGGAAATAGGACCTGTTTCAAACGAACAGTCAAACTTTTACGCATAAGGAGTTCTGGATAGAGCATATTGGCCGAGAATTTTTTTAAAAATCTTAAAAATGCAAAATGTATGTAAATTTTTGTTACAATTTTGGTGTAATTACTGCTCTGTGTTGCTCTATAAGATAAAGGAATGTTTTGGAGTCTCTAAACTCCAGTTAAGGATTAATCGATTACTAAATTAGTTGACGATTATTTTAAATTATCGATTAATCACGATTAATCCGATTAATTGTTTCAGCCCTAGTTAAAAGTCTAATTAGAGTTAAATTTACCTGTTTTTATCCATTTTTCTTTGGTCTATTTGATTAAAAATATTACGGAATTGTCCAGATGCTGTGGTATTTTTACTCAATATTATAATACTGTAAGAATGTCATACCAGATATTGCGTATCTATTAAGATTTAATCGGAACAACAATAAAATTAAATAATATACATTGCAATGAACCCCAGCAGGGAGGAAGGGTGACAGAAAATGGATGGACAGCCCATTGAATAGGACAGTAGTGTGAGCATTTTCATGATTAATTGTGTCCACATTTATACCTATTTTATACATATTTATATCTTAACTACTTAAGAGAACAAATGGACAAACCACGATTGAGTAAATAAAAAGATAGCTGGGCGACAGGTAAGGAATGAAGCAGGTAGAGGGGAAATTATAAGTTGTAAATAGGCCCGATTTGCTTGGATGTGGCCTATTTTACATTCATTATCTAAATAAACCTTCCCAACAGCAAAGTGGGAAAAATACAGTGAAGATTGCAAATACACTCATCCTGATGACTTCTTGTGATAAAATGGTAAGTGTCATAAGATGACACTTAAACTCTGGGGGGGAATCCTTATCTAATTTATTGATCTGTACTCTGTATGTTGAGAAACTTTGCCTGATGTCAACAAAAGACTTTGTAACACGTCATCAGCATAACTGTCTTCAGTTGCCAAACACACAAAGGAGCATTAAGTTACTTACGATTAAATTTGAAGGTTTTTTCTTCCGTTATTACTTATAATAAATAAGCATATCTTCATACTGGCACATATTCACAATCTCCTCCTCAGGCACTTCATGTTCCCATGTTTTCTCAGCAGTTTCTGACACAACAGCGCTTGACGTAAAAGCAGAGATGAGAATAATCCCTTGCTTAAAATAAAAAAATAAAAAAATGTTAGAACTGTAAATTTACAGTATATTACTGTTTATATATATATATATATTTTTTTTTTTTTTTACTATTTTTCACCATCTGTGAGCCTGGTGAAAAAGCCAGACTCACAGATGCTCCTCTTCAGGTACATAGAAAACCAGCTGGACTCCAATAGAGCCTGCTTATTAGCAGGTGAAAGCTTGATAAGCAAATGCTGAGCAGCCAAGCAGAACAAGATGTGCATTCTCACTTCCCTCCCTGGATGTATCAGCAGAACTGCATTTGTGATGAATTGAAAGCAACTTCTGTGCAGAGCATTTTCACTTATATTACCGGTAATATATGTAGAGCTGAAACAATTAATAGTATTAATCGACGATAACTAAAATAATACATAACTAATTTACTAATCAAATAATCCTTAACTGGAGTTTAGAGACTCTAAAAGATGCCTTTAGCTGACATAGCGACCAACTTAGAGCAGTAATTATACCAAAACGTAAAAAATAAAGAACACATTTTGCATTAAGATAAAAAAATAAAAAGAAAAAATCAAAAAAGACTGTCAATTTGCTCTATCCATAATTCCTTAAGTGGAAAAGTCTTAGTTTCACCTGGTTTCATTTCATAAAAAAATCTTCTTAAAGGAACCTTTTTCTTTCCGATTATTAATCAGACAAAAACCGATTAGCAAAATAATCATTAGTTGTAGCCCTAAATATATAATCCTAATTTTTTTTTTGCTAGGATTCATATGACGGATCTGCCCAATGTATTAGATCAGAGTGCTGCTGCCTTCTATCCAGGATCTCAATCTCAGTGAGGTTTTCATCCGGTTAAGTAAAATAAATGAAGAGAATTTAAGGATCAAGGATCCATGGTTTTCAACATTTTTCTTTACAGATTAATTTTCCTGTTGCAATAGTGTAGATCAGGGGTGCTCAAGTCCAGTCCTCAAGAGTCATCATGTAACTTTTAGATGCATCTCTTCTCTAACACACCTGAATCGAAAAGCTCAATGCCCTCATTAAGCCCAGCAGAGGCAACGTAACGAGCCACTCATTTGATTCAGGTGTGTTAAAAATTGGGTGCATGAAAAAGTTGCAGGTTAGTAGCTGTTGAGGTCTGGACTTGAGCACCCCTGGTGTAGATCGACCCTGAGGTTTTGGTGCCTATCCGCTTTCAGCCACCCCTCAGTGTACATTGGTCATTGCCTGGCCACCCTTATAAACATTTTCTGAATGCACCTCTGTTTGGAAGACCTCCAGCGATGCTCAGCTCAGGTGGTATCATGCATCCCACCTTGTTTAGCTGACAGAGTCAGAATTCAATTAAATCCTATTTTTTATGGCCAAAAACCATGTAAACAAACCTGCAAAAGCAGGTGGATTGGTCAGATCTAAAATAGGAGATATCAAAATGTGAAACAATTTACAGAAATCCATTGCCTATTGCAGCATTCAAATGGCATCATGCTCAGATGGATGGAGCTAAACACAGAATAACCTGTTATAATACTAGAACTGGGATATATACAAAGCTAATAGAAACATACCTAACAAGGCAGCTGGGTCTGTTGTAAAAATTGACAGGAAAAAAATTAACAGAGGGTTGGCTACATATGACTGTAGCAAAGCATGTGAAAAGTGAACTGGTTTAAGTTTCTGTAGCAGTAGATTGTGTGCTTTGAGGGTGGACCCCCTATAGCAGCTGTGTCACCTGACTGACACCACCACTACAGTAATGCTGACCATCCATCAATGAAGGATGCTATTATGTAACTACACAAACACACACCAACCACTAGGAAGATATAAGTAGAGTGTATGCGGCTTGATTTTGCTATTGATTCATGTGGTTAAGCCAAAACGAGTAAAAAAATAACAATTCCTCTGTTTTCGTACAGAAATAGCAGCTTTCAGGCTGTAGCATTCACTCCTTCTGCTAACGGTCAGCACACGCAGCAGCTATCAGGTGCATCATGACTCACCGACAACAGAAAACAACCGCAGGAGGCTTCACAACAGCGGAAATGTCAGTTTCAACAGGACCATCCTCCGAGCTGATGGGGCACAGACGGGACTGCTATCTGTTGGGTTCAACATCCGCGTAGATAGAGGTGTTTGGTAGTCATAGCTGGGCGGCGATTCCGACTGCTCAGCTGATCCTGAACCAACCGCGGCCCGCACGTCTTACCCTATCACACCGACGGTAGGGGGGCTTAAAGATTTTATTATCGATACACTAACTATTTTAGTTTTAAATACAGTTATATGTCACGTTAAGAGTTAAAGTACATTAATAGTGGTAAAAAGGAACCAATTTGAATTAAAGCTCCTATGAAAAGGGAATCAAAAAGGTTATCAGAAACCAAACACCCCTCCAGCTTTGGTATGTTCCAGGATGTGCCATGTTGACGAACCTCTCACCTTACCGTCAGAAGTTTCATCATAACATTGCACATAAGCTGCTGTAAAATAGACCTTAATGACGGCCATAACAACTTATTGAAATGTTTTGCCTTTCTACAGTACAATGCATGCCAGTAAAATATGCATTTAAATGATAGAAGTGTCGCCATGATTGTTCAGATGTTCAATGTTTTGGACATTAGCACTTTTCTAATGCATCCATCCATCCTTTGCTGCATTTAAAAAGGATGAGCTCTGGTTCATGTGCTGCTTAATGAGTTATTTCTGGATTTATGCTCCTGTTGCCACCACTAGCTATTAAATCTGCAAGAAACCAGCTCAGCCTCCGTCTTTGCATTTGGATCCTCTAAAAACCTACACACAACCTGGCAATAAGTGCACAAACACAATATGTTTTTTTTTCCAATTACACAATTTAATATTGGCCTATTGGAGGATATAGTTTCTTTTCTGATTGTTGATTTTGATCTAATTTTAAACAATCTTTCAAACAAAATTGAGTCAGATATTATAATGGAAAACATACAAATTTTCCTGTTTTTGAAATGCACTCTGTTATTTGTCATTACTTCTTGGTGATTTTAGGTGAATCTGGTGTGTAGAGGTGTGGATCCTTCAGACATCTGGCCTTGGTAAAACATGTTCTCATTGTAATAAATAATTAATAAATGTCAATCATAAATTCTTTGTTCAGCTTCCTGGCATAAAATAATTCCTCTCATTGGTATATTAATTATTAAAAGTAGGCTATTAATGACTATATATGCAATAGTTGATTGGATTGCATTGTGAGTTTACACAATGTTATGTTGAAAAAGAAAAACACTCTTAAAAGCAACACAATTAAAGTAAGAAAGCTATAAACACCTAAAAATCATCTGGTAGTTATACATTGATTCCTCTTCCCTGTTAGGTTTTTAAAAAAAAGTACCAAGCAATGGGCTTAACGCTTGTATATTACAGTTTTAAATGGTGGCATTAACTGTTACATATGTATAATATACTAGCAACTAAGTGAAACAAACCACAGGAATGCTAAATTAAACAGTGCCAGCATTATTCAATCATTAAGATAATATCTTTTATTTTAAAAACGCAGTATGAAACCCCAGGTAACTGAACGGCACCTCTCTTTCTTCTAAATTTATATATTTTGTCTTTTTGTTAGCCATAAGCAACAATTTCTACCTTCTTTCCCACTCAGTACATTTAGAAGCAGAAGTGAGTTTTCTCAGGTTTCCCGATTCCATCCTTGCTTGCTTTAGGTCTGGTCTCATTAATTTTAGATGTACATTTAGAAATAATTTCCAATGCATTAGTTTCGATCAGTCATGCTTGTAGCACAAGTTACATTCCTTTATGTTGAAAATTCCTCATTGCTGTCTGTTTTATTTGTTGCAGCATAGTGCAATAACCTATTATTAGTTAAAATAAATGATAGAGAACATGATGCATGCCATCTTATGTAATAAGACATGATAGAAACTTATCTGATTGCATAACAGAGTTACATTAAATCCATGTGCAGAAAATAATCTGCATGTGCAGGTTTTTGCCTTTAGATGGCGACCCTGCCATTCTAAACATTTTGTGTTTCTTCATCTAAGTAATGTGGGGTTATTTGTCAGGGATTAAAAAAAATTGAAATCAATGGGGAAAAAATTCCAAATTAAAAATGCAGTCATTCAGTAAACAAAAACTCATTAAAGTACTATACAGACCAAAATTGTCAGTAAAAATACATTTGATCCAATTAATCCAATAGTAAATTTAATGATCACTGTTTTTCTTAAAAGCTCATATAATGAAAAATTCCTTTTTCCAGCTTCTTTTGCCAATGTATTGCAATTGGAAGGTGTAAAACGAAGCGCGTTTATGTTTAGGAATCCCTCCAAACTTAATAAAACATTTATCTTTTATGCACACAGTATTATCAAAAAATTAAACATTATTTCTAGTCACCATCGAACTTTTCAAATAAGAAAAATTAAAACATATGCTATCTGAGGGTGAAGAAACATATTCTTTTGTCTTTATGCCACCATGCTTCCCTTTTCACTATTTCCTGATCTTTTGGCATGGATGTTATTTTCTTAGATGAAGATGAATCTCTGTAAAATAGATTCATCCTTTTCCTCTGTTCCTAAAATACTCTTAGAAATTATTCATGACATTTAAAAATCTGTATCTTACTTACATTTCTATCATAAAAGAAAAGCAAGTAAAAATAAAAGTATGACTAGATCAGAGACTTCAATGTTAACCTTAAATTGTGACGTTTCATTATAACTGATAAAAACATTGTTGATGGTAATAAATCTGCTTTGGCATAATTAGAGGGTTACAAAGTAGTGGCCCCAAAATGCATTTCTTAATTATGATGCAACCAAATTAGCCCTTATACTAAATGTAACCAAATTCTTGTTGAGTTTTCCTTTTTACTTAGTTACTGCTTACATTCATTTTAATCCTTTTTATATGAGAAATAGTTCCACCAACTCATTTTAGGTAATTCATGGAAGGTAGACGATGTCTATAAACAGAAAAGCTAAATGCATGCTGGGTGAGACAATTTGTGCTAAAAGTTCAGATTTTCACTGTTTTTCATACCGTGAGTATCTGTAGTGATATATTGCACAGAATCTGTAGGCAGCAAAGACCTGTGTTTTTCACTTTAACTGAAAACATCAGTAACCGGCTACAGCAAATACACCAGCTTACAAGTCTCCAGTCAACTTTAACACACTTTCTTTTATTATTTTAGGGCAGTCACCCTCTATGTAGAGCAATCTTTTTTGGTTGTGCATGCAACCAACATTGTTTTATTGGGATAGGCAGCTGTCAGCGAGCTGCTTGTAAAGTATCATGGCAGGCCTGGCAGAGTAATGACAAAGATGTGTATTCCTAATAGTTTTTAAAGAAACGGTGAACTATATCAAGATGATCAAGAGAATTAATAACTGATGTTGTTGGTCTGATGGTTGTGTATTGGTTTGCCAGATAACAAATGGTAAATGGCCTGTACTTATATACCGCTTTTTGTTTTCAAGTCAGGAGATTTGACCAAAGCGAATTACACTACATTCAGCCATTCACCCATTTACACACACATTGATGGTGGCAAGCTACATTGCAGCCACAGCTGCCCTGGGGCTCACTGACGGAAGCGAGGCTGCCGTACACTGGCGCCACCGGGCCCTCTGACCACCATCAGTAGATGGTGCAGGTGAAGTGTCTTGCCCAAGGACACAACGACACTGAAAGTCGGAGCCAGGCCTTGAACCATCAATCCTTCGATTTCAGGGCAAACTCCTACGTACACTGTCACCCTAATGCACCTTAAACAGCTTAAAAATAGATGCAAGTTTATACTGTTTGTGTGCCTTAGTCACCCTTTCCATGAAATACAGTGCCATGAAAAAATATTCACTATCTAATGAATGTCTTTTTTTTTTTGTCTTTGCAAACATGAAAAATCATAAAAAGAAAAGTGAATACAAAATATATTTAATTGATTATTTATTATATTTTGACTTTTAGAGAAAAAGTAGCCACCCAATTGTTGGTAGCAACAATATTTTTTACGAGTCGGAGAAAGCTGGAGATGATAGTTTGTCAACATGGCAGAGGAATTCTCTCCCACTTTTCTTTGCAAAATAGATTTAATACAACCACATTGGTCATAAATTAAACCCACTTGCAGCATCTTTGTTTCTTGCTTGTGTTTTTTTTTTTTTTTGCAGTTCAGAAGTGGACTAGTTAATGTTCCTCAGATTATTTTCTTGCTTGTGCAATCCAGGTGGCCTGAAAGGTTTTCCTTCCAGAGAGCAGAATTCATGATTCTCTTAGTAAATACAAGTCATCCAGATAATGAAGTAGTAAAGTGTCTCCACACCATTACACCACCCCCACCATGTTTGACTGTAGATGCCCTTTAGGGGACATATTCTGTTTGCAGAACAGTAGACATAACAGGACACACAGTTTTCAAAAAGTGTTATTTTTTTTTTCTCTTGTTACCCAAAAAAATAATTTGTCAAAAGTAAAATATTCAAGATGACATTTCGATCTTTGTTCACCCGCTGCTTTTGCCTTTAACAGTTTTACTGTTAAAGACAAATTTTTACAGTGAAGTCATGAACACTAAGGTGACTGAGGTCTGAAGTGCTATGGACAGTATTTATGTTCATATATTACTATTGTAAGGTTTGCCACTGGTTCATGTCTTATCCATTTGTGTGTAATTGTTCTCATTGTGGTTTGCTAGAATCCCAAAGCCTTATGGCCTTCTGACCCTTCACAGACTTTAATCACCTTGTCATCTTTTCATGAATGTTTTACTTTTAGGATAAATGGGCTTCAATAGCTTTAATTTCCACACAAATAAACACACAATTTGAAAACTGCTTGTTGTTTTTACCCTGGTTATATTGGTATGATATCAAATTATATAAAATTCTAACATTACTTTTTCTTTTGTCTTTCTTTTTTCTTTCTCACCCAATGTCTGATCTATATGAGGTTCGGCAAAGTTTGTGTCCCTGACCTTATGATGCTTTGACATGTAGTGCAAGAAGCACACTCATGTGTTTACTGTACACACAAAGGAGTACTCTTGTGCTTCTAATAAAGCATAACAAATACAAAAGGAAAAAAAAGGTTTATTATACAGTTGAAATGACCAGAAATGGAAGACCCAGGATTCAACCAGAGACAACAGTTGACGTTTTAACAGTGTATTAAAATAT